TAATCAAAAGTTGATCTTTAAAGGTCATTTGAAGAATTTGGCCTATGTTCAAAGACATGACCTGACCAGAAATGGTCATGATGCATAGCAGGATATTAGATCCGCATCGTGGAACTTTACAAACACTTAAGTGATAATTTCATAACTTAAGCATGTCTATCAAAAATATTTATTACATGGCTCATGTGTAAGCTGGGTGTGTGATCATGCTTACGAGTATGTTGAACGCAACTGATAATGTTCTGTTGGCCACAATTTCTATATTTGATTTATCCTCCCGGATTTCATATTTTTATTAATGACACCTTGACGATGTCGAGAAAAAACGCTTAGGAGATTAAACAGCCTGAGATACATTCAGTATAAGGAAGGGTCAAGGGTGCTAGATTCCTTCCGTTCTCGCTATCCTCAGGAAAAAACAATCCACATCGCCCCTAGTCTTCATGCTTCCCTCTCTGGACTGGAGGTCACCCCACCAGCCAACCTGTAGTTGACGTCGGTTCCATTCCAGGACACATAATTGTAATCCTCTTCGGGTGACCGTTGGAGAGACGGCTGGACGGCCCCGACAGGGCCATCGTCCCACGGGAACAGTCACGCTTCCGCAGATCACTGTTGCTGGCTCGCACAACCAAATTAGGTACTACACCAGAGCATAGTTATGTCATAGCTATGCAAGGGCCTTCTCAGACCGAAAAAGATGGCTCCCAACAAAACAAACAATTTTCTCATTCAGTATTGTATCTCATCAGGCACCACATGTTTTCAGAGTGTTTATTATGCGTTCCGTCCAAAAAAAGCGCAGTTCAACTTTCTCCCATTGACTTAAGCGGTCTCAAAATTGACCCGACCTTTCTGTCAGCAATGTCAAACTTGCAAAGTAAACGTTTCAAATACATATACTGTTGCCCATTGAAATCGCTGAAGGTTCTAAAGCGATCGGTTAGTCGATGTATTTAGATATGATGAGCACAGGAACTTTCCTTGAGGTAAGGTCACTTGACGTGACTTGGTGTTATGACCTTGAATTGAAAGACTTGGGCGAAAAAATGGGTCATTTGAAATCTTAAAATGTTAAATTTTAACAATAATTGCAAACACTATCCCGGCCAAATAGTGAGTGAGAAGGGAGCGATTCCCAGCCCCATGTTTAGCTCCTATAATTGAGCTAACTGGTAGAGCCTCGCGGAAAAAACGAGTGCTTGCGTCGTTACGTGACGCAGCGACTGTTACCCCATTTTGAAATATCAGTGACCTCTTAGGGCAGGTCAAGGGCCCAAGGCATTGGATCGGTTTTTGGTGAATAACTTCGCAAAAAAAATGGTCGCATTATCGTCATTTCGATACAATCGTGGTTTCTGTTCTCAGACGCGTCGATTTATATGCTTTTTTGCTTAGGTGAAGCAATTTAGGATGTTTAGGTCAATGTCATGTTAGGGCAACACAGATCACGAAGCTGTTGCAAGGAGGACATGTTGCATAACATTTGATTCGGCAAGTCTTGCAGAGTCCATTGATGGCTGTCCCGACTGACTAGCTCATTTTGATCGGGAGTTATTGACGAAGCACTCCTATTGACGAGCACTCCGACACGCAAGGTGAACAATGCAAAAGTGAAGCATTAAACCTTGCCAAGAATGTATGAAGTCACGATTCCATGCACTTGAGGCATACTTTTAGGTCATTTCCGACGCCAAATTAACAGTTTCCATATTTTCCCATAATGCTTATAACTATGACACTAAGTGCATTACGGATTTGCATAATTTTATAACCGACAACCGTGCAGTCTGCAGAGGTTTACTTAAGACGTCATAGGTAACCTGACATGAAAACGTGGTTGATTTCAAATGATCCGGCTTGAATCAAATGTAAGGCATATGAAATGTCAGCCTTCTATCATCAGTGTGCTTTTAGCTACCGCAAAAAAAATATGGTGGCGGCATCCACCCCTTCTTCTCGGCCGGCGAGGGTTAAACCTCGCTTCGAATAATTGCAGATAATGATGCGACCGAAAACAAAGCATTTATCTGTGTCTAGAACGGCCGCTGACTTGTTGGACAATATCCCCAATCTTAATTTGCTAGATGGGAATAAAATACTCGGCATATGATGCATATATACCCCTCGATTTGCCCCCGCGCTAAGTCAATTCTAATCATCACTGTCGCTTTTTTATCCGAGATGATGTCGCCGCTAAACGGGTTGTTTTGTTTGCTTGCGTTGAATGGTCATTACGGATTATTGAAGGATTATGATATAATAGGAATGGGGCAAGGTAGGATATGCACTGCAGTGCAGGTGTTTAATTTAGATCTCAAAGGCATCATTTCCGGCATCGTGCAGAGTCACTATCTTCCCCTCCTCTGCACTGCGGCATCTCTGCGCCCCACACACGGCGTCCTCGCTCCACGGCCGGCCGCCGCCAACTGACCCACTCGCCGGGCGTCGCGACCTGACCCGTGTCACTGCCGCGGCCTGCGCAATAGAGTCGGGGCTGGAATCCGGGGGTTCGGCCGGCCGGCCGCCTCTGGAGCGGGGGACTTTTTTAGTAGACCTACTGTACAGGGTGTCATTTTTTCTTTCAGTGTGTGATCTAAAAAGGTACGGGCAACGTGAATGGGCCAGATGGATTGGGGCATGTTGGACTAAAGTCCGAAGCACTGAGCACATCGCTCAAAATAGGAACACGCATAACATAACACTAGGAGAACAAAAACAAAATGAGAGCAATGCCGAGATACGAAATTTTAATGAAAAGACGTCCTTTCTTTATAAGGAGACCCATTAGACCACATTAGGAGTGTATTTTTACTATAGTGAAACAGGAAATACCAAGTTACCTGCACCATCTGACAACGTAGGTATCACTAATTTGACACACAAAAACACGTCCATTTGACCGTATACCTACAATTACCATTTAATAACTAAATTAAATGGTACTTGTATATACGTGTGTATGTGTAATTGCGGGTGACATTAGTACGCAATTGTTATCACATGATAGACTTATTAGAAATTGATAGCGCTTGGTTCACTGTCGTCAGGGCACTGTCACAGTCCATCAAATCCCCTGCACGGCCGGTGCGGATGAAATCTGAAAACAGGGCGCCGGAGGGCATACTGATCACGTGATTACTGAGAAGTCCTCTTCCTTCCGGTGCCTCTAGGCTCTAACAGGTCAATTGTCACGTGATAATTTCAAAAGCCTTGATCAAATCGCCCCCTGTTTTCGGATTCCACCCCGGCGCGCAGTCAGCGTTCGGTATGCGCCACAGTTTGCCGCAGCGGCGGCAGGGCGCTGGGGTCATTGACCTCTATAATACCTAGACGGCCCACTCACTACATTTACCCTTTCCCAAAACGGCAGCGCCGCAAGTGGTCAGAGATTCTTTAACACGCGCAGTGGGAGGGGGAGGGGGATTTTGCCCACCCCTCCTGTTTTTCGCCAATAACTCGCGCCGCAAACATAACATTAATGTGAAATTTTGGCTACCTGGCCAGAATTGAATTGCAGATCTTCTCGTGCAAGAAATAAGAAAATTGGCTCACAAATTTTCTAGCAATAGCGGTGTAAAGTCAAACATTCTGCCGCCGCCGCGGTGCGGCGGCGCGTCGGCCGGCGTCAGCCGTTACGCGCCGCCTGAATTGTAGACTGTGCCGGGGCAGGACGGTTCCGTATTTACATCGCGCTCCTTACCGCTGATTATATTCGATTCGTGTCAAATTTTGTGTGAAGACTAAGAAATGTACAGGCAATCTTATGGTCAAAGAATTTAAAAAATCGGCCGGTAAAAATTTCAGTTATGAGAGTGTAAACACAAAATTGTGATTGCCGTGTTTCCCGCGTCGGCCGGTCCCGCTTCAGCCAGCGACATCTTACCCTTAGCAGGCTTCTTATTGCCATTTTTATTGTTGGATTTACTAGAAAATTCATCATACATTCTCACAAATGTATGTTCTTTCGTATAGTGAAAGAACAAAGAAAATCGGCCGGTAACTTTTTGAGTTATCGGCGTGTAAACGCAAAAAGTCGCTCATATTTGACCACATTTGACCTCATTTTACCTTGAAGATATTGACCTAGGGTCATGAAATTCACATACAACAGAGTTCTTTAGGGCCCCCACCTACCATCCAAATTTCGTCTTTCTAGCTCCAGTGGGAGCTGAGATCTTAGGGGGCGACTCCCCGCCCCCCTTCCACTGGGCGTGTTAACCCGCGCTGGGCCGGGGGGGGGGGGTGTTTGAACACCTCTCTGCGGTTTTCCGCAGATATCTCAAAAGGTCATGACCTGAGGTCAACTCTGAGGATATGTTGGCGAAAGAGCGTTAAAAGAGCTATCCAATGCGCTTTTCGCGGCGCTGTAGCTCTATCGGTTCCCGTCCCGAGTTAGACGATGGTAGTTTCCAAAATGTTGAAATAAGCAACATTTTACTTTTGGTGACCTCTGGTGACCTGACCTTTGACCTGACCCAAAAAATGAAAAGGTCCTTGAGTTGTGAAGGTGCGCACTGCGCATGTTCCGGACTTTGACCTCACCTCGGGACTTGACCTTTTGGGCAAGGGGGTCAAAAGTTGCACACAAGACGTGCTATTTAATTGTCCGCATGCATGCCAGGTTCGCCATGGGTTGCATGCCGCCGTTTTCAAGATATTCGCGGAAGTCAAGTATGTGGGAAGGCAGATTCCGCCGCCCCTCCGGTGTTGCTCCGGTGCGCCTTAGCCCTTATCACCATTGTTACCGTCGTGCTGAAAAAAAAAACGAGCCTGATGTCATATGAGAAAAGCATGATTTGGTTTGAGAAAAGTGTTAAATGTACCACGAACACGATATTTCCCGCTTAAATCGCATTTATAAAAGTACCACCCATCATTGCCGACTGTGGCGGTCGGGAACTTCTGACCACTTCCAGGTGGCGCTAGTGAGCCTCCATGCGGGAACGACTCGGCGCTGGTGGCGCCGCGCGAGTGGGCCGTCTAGGTACTAATAGAGGTTAATGGCTGGGGTGGTGCGGCGCGGGGTGCGCCACTCTCGTCTCGTGCCACGTGGCTCCGTTGGACAGCTGGCGGGAGAGTGCCCTCAGCTGGTCGCCGGCGAGGTGGCTGGCGCGGCTCAGCCTGCAACCGAGCCGCGGAGATGACGTCAAACAGCTGGGTTCAGGTAGTTGAAGATTGTAGAGAAGACCCTTTGATTCCAGGATTTTTCATACTTAGCTCTTTATAGCTCATTCCAGCCACTTTTTAGGCCGCCCCACACTGGACCTCGCATGCGGGTTGCGAGTTTTTGGGTTTTCGGGTTTCTTCAAAATCAGATGATACAATCTAAGCTGAGTGACCCACACTAACATCTAACAAGCGAGTCTGCATGTTTTTAGCTTGCGAGCGACCTTGCATCGCATTCCAAAAGCTGATTTTGAGTCAACTTTCGATTTTCCTCGCTGCGAGGTCTGCTAGTTCTGCGAGGTTTGCGGATTTTTCGTTGGAGTCGAATTTTGGTTCCTTGCGCTGGTATTGCGAATTGCGACTATAGGGTGAATAGGTCAAAAACGCCCCCCTTAAGCGCGAAACCTTCTGACACTCAACCCAACACAGATTACCTAAACCTTTGGGCACCATCATGTAGCTCATTCTTTTTACTACGCTTTGAGACCAAGAAAAGACACCTGCGTGTGGTATTTAACCCCCCAAAAAGGTTTTCGCATACCCTTACAAAAGGGCGTTTTGCCCCATACCCTGGGTAATACGCCCACACCCATGTGCAAAGCGCCCCCACCCCATCCATCAACAGAAAATGATGAACATGGCAGAACTTGACGTCATTCTGACGTCATTTGTGGTCAACCTATCATAGCCTTTGGAATAAAATTTTGTTGCAATGTGTAAAATGGATGCCCGGAGGAGTCCTGAAAGTTTGGTGACGATATCTGCAGTCGTTTAGGATATATCAGCAAAAAAGGACAGGGAGAGGCCTTTTCGGCCCCGACCTACAGGGCGCTACCCTGCACTCTCACCACCGTGCAAAACGCCCCCCTTTCAGAAAACTGGGGGCGTCTTGCCCCATGCATCGAGTAGGCGTCTTGCGCCATCCACTCCATTTCCGGTCAACAAAATATTGACAAAAAGCGCGCCACTAACGCCGTAGCATAATACATTCAACAGAATGACAATAAAACGCAGTTTTGAGTGATGTGCACAATAGCAAGTTTTGTGATATAAAGAGGGCATCAAAATATTAGGAATCTTCTGTAAAAACAACAAAAACAACACCCAAAACCAACATCAACACCTACCCACGCTGCTCCTCTAGACGCAGAACCGGAAATAGAGACCTACGTAAACAAGCAGCTGACTGTTCTGAAAGACAGGATAAAACACCTATCCGTCGATAAGAAATACGATTTTTTTAGGGGAGGCGTTTAACCCAGGGGTGCGTTTTCCCCACAGTTACCCTACGTAACTTTCTGAAGGTGTACCGGCATAGGCAGCGGAACGGGGAGGGCACCGGGGCACCGTGCCCCCCCCCCCTTTGATTTTGGCATTTTAACATCAGCCCTATGGGCGTTGTATGGAAAGAATGGAACCAAAAGTCGGCAGTGCCCCCTTTATTGAAGGTGTTCCGCCGCTACTGTGTACCGGCTTCACTGCATTCATGAAGTTACCATAAGGGAACGGTCTAATCTCTATGAATTAGAGTTATGCCCGCAAACTCAAAACCCGCAAACTCGCAGCCCGCATGCGAGTTCCAGTGTGGGTCGGCCTTTAGGTGTTAGGCATCAGTTATCAAATTATGCATTTAACATCACTAGATTAGACCTGACCCTGACCTGACTTGACCTGACCTGACCTGACCTGACCTGACCTGACCCTGACCTGACCCTGACCCTGACCTGACCCTGACCTGACCCTGACCTGACCTGACCCTGACCTGACCCTGACCTGACCCTGACCTGACCTGACCTGACCTGACCCTGAGCTGACCCTGACCTGACTCTGACCTGACCCTGACGGCACAGCGGAAGGCAGCCCACTCGACTGTAAGCACTAGGAGGCTAGCTGTGACGCCCAGTAGAAGCACGGCGAAGGCGCCCATCGTGTGCAAAAGCGACGCTTCCACGATGGTTTCCGTGTTGCAGATGAGGCTGGATTCTAGCGCCTTGCGGTAGAGCTTCTCCAGGACTCCACCTTCTCCCAGCATCTGGATCCTGGATGGAAAAGAAGGGACGACGTGAGCGAAGCTGGGTTGAGTAAGATTGGAGACGTGAGCACATAAATGACAGATTTTGATTGCAAGGTGCACTTACCCTTGCAAATAATGCTCTAGCCTCTATCTTTGTAAATGGTTTATAATTAGACATGCTGCCTGGAGCTCAGCGGCTGGTGCCAAAGCCAGGCCCTGGCCCACAACGATGTGAGGTTAAATGAGTGCGTGAGTCCACCCTCACCTCGGCAATGCCGCCCAAGCTCGTGATGGAGGAGCCTCCTCCAACACCCACCCTTCACCTTACAAATTAGTTTTTTTTATGCACTGTGATACAATTTTATGTTCCAAGTTATCGTGAACTGCAAGCTGTCTTGCAAAGTGTTTCGCTGAAACACTTTACCAATCGTCTAGTTTGTACGAAGAATAGGGGACAAAAGACGAAACTATAGAAAAGCGCGGGCGCTCGATCAGAATATACCTTACAAATTAGTGATGTCAATTACGGAAAATGGTGATACCGATACCAAGCCAAATACCAACAATAACCACAAGAAAACACTAAAACAGAACCGACTTGGGAAAATGAGGAAATACCAACTTTTTACCAAATTCTCAGCCTCTTTTACGTTAGTGAGGATTCACAATGCCGACAAAATACCAAAACATTTGTCTTGAACTACCGAATACCAAGTTGATATCGGTTTGGTATCGGTATACCAAAAAGTTGGTATCCGATTGACATCTCTATTACAAATGCTCTCTTCACCCCATCCCGGCCACACGGACCCGTGGTTGAAGAGCTCCCGGTACGGCGAGTGCTTCTGCAGGCCCAGCGCGATGCCGCCCGGAGAGTAGCTCACGTCCAGCTTGTGCACGTGACACGCGATGTGCGGGTCGATTTTCGACAGGTAGTAGTCGGCAGCCTCGTTAGAGGCTAGAAAAGCGTAGTTGCCTTCTGCTACCTGGCGGCGAAAGTGCGAACTGTTAGTGATGTCGACCCTCTGTCGATGGTGGACGATAAGTGGCAGCACAGCACAGGTTTACGCTGCGACATTGATATACCTACATATTATCGTATCGAATGATAAAAAACCCAAAATATATATCTTCTCATAGACACGAGGATTTAACCCTCGCCCGTATAGGGTGGGGGGGGGGGTCGAACGGACCCCCCCCATGGTTTTTCGCGAATAACTCGCGTAAAAAGCGGCCGATCGCGACGAAGCTTTCAGTACCCTCGCGTCCATCAATTTTACAACTACCCTGAAAATTTCATGACCCTGACCCCAATGACCTTTGACCTGTGACCTACTTTTCGAGACCATGTTTGGCCGGAATCGCGATTCGGCGTATGTCGGCTCGCATTAGCCGCGCGTTTGCAGTCTTTTCGTGGTTTCAAGCGTTCAAACATGTGATATGATGTTGTCCCCATGCATTAGGGTGGGCGTCAAGGTCACCTGAAGGTCAGATCAGGTCATTGACCTTTGGTGACCTCGGTTCACTTTTTCGAGTTTTACATGTTTCTAGGCCAGTTTTTGGAGCTGAATTCGAATTTAGCAACCATATGAACGTTTACGAAGTAGTTTTGGTACCTTCGTAACATGTTACGAAGTTGTCAGAGGCGGTTGACACCTACTAGGAATACCCGGCAGGACCCCTACTGGTTGACCTGACCTGACCTGACCCGACCTGGACTTAATGCATAAAGACATCATCTGTGATCAAAACTAACATGATATTCGTGATCAGCGCCCCGAAAAACCCCATAGCAGCCACACTTTACGGCGTTCTAACAGGTCCCGATTTTCCCGACTTTTGGGTCATTGACCTGACCTGCAAGGTCAACTAATGACCTAGAACCTTAAAATTAGGTGTCATCGGCTTCCTCTCGTCACGGGCAACACGCTCGTTTTCTTCCGCGAAGCTCTAGCTCAATCAGGGGCGAAACGGCAAGGGGGGTCCAACGGCCCAGCAAACATGCCGACGTCGGCCCGACATCGGCTGGACGTCGGATATGCCCGCATGTTCCGACGTCCAGCCGAAGTCCAGCCGACGTCGAGCCGACGTCGGGCCGAGGTCGTTTGCCGAGGTTGACGAGATCGTTTGTCGTTGGACCGACGGGGCCGACGTCGGCATGTTTATTGGGACAACGCGCCAAAAATATCAACCGGCGGCGGGATTCGAGCCCCCCAGTCGCCGACGTCGGCATGTTTACTGGGACAACACGCCAAAAGCATCAGCCGGCGATGGGATTCGAACCCCGTGTCATTTGAACGCGAGGTTTGTGCGCTAACCACTACACCACGCAGCTTGATAGCGGATTTAGTTTGTTTTGTTGGGTTATGCCCTTTCGGTCTGACAAGACCATTTCAGAGCCGGAAGGATGATAGGATGGAGACATTGGTCTTCTTGGCGAGCACCCTGGGTCCAGTTCACATAGAGTCCCTGGTCCCATTGCTGTTACGTGACACTTATTGGAAAGGGCGACCCCACAATGGATTCATATAGCCACTCTTACACACCTGCACCAACGTTTCCCAAAGTGTCCCTTTGATAAGTGGCACTTTGGCAAAGTGACACTTGCCGACTCGCCTTTCTATATGAACTGGGCCCGGCCCTGGTGAGTTGCCGGGGCTGAGCCTGCCCAAAGGATAGGCCGAGCAGCCCCCAAGCACTCACCGCACCCGGCTACGGGCGAGGTCGGCTTACGGGCAATCCCAAATGGGATAAAGTTTCCCGTCCAGCCCGGATCAGGGAAGATGGAGGAAGATTTGCGGCGTGGAGGAAGATTTGAGTTTCCTGAGGATATTTTGAATACAGAAGCTCTTTATGAAACATGAAACATGCATTTTATATTATTTTAACGGTCAAAACAGCGGCCGATGTCGGTCCGACGTCGCCCCGACGTCGGCCCGACGTCGGCTGGACCTCAGCAATTGATCTCGGTCCGACGTCGGCCCGACGTCGGCTGGACCTCGGCTGGACGTCGGTACATGCGGGCATATCCGACATCCAGCCGACGTCGTGCCGAGGTTGGACCGACGTCGGGCCGACGTCGGCATGCCGATGCCGAGTTGCCGACGTCACCCCGACGTCGGCCGACGTCGGGCCGACGTCGGCATGTTTACTGGGGAATTTAGTTTAGTTTATACCCTTATACGTTCGCGGCTGGAAAAACACCAATACGGGCGAGGGTTAAAAGCGATTTCCCCAGTCCGATTCAAAACTTGATGAGGCGATTTAGCTCTCGCCGGACCTATTGGTTTTCTACATACGCGCCGGCCGAGGGGGGGGGGGCGGGTACGACCCCCCCTCCTCGCCGTTTCGCCGCTGGTGGAGCTAGCGCGTTGCGAAAAAAATGAGCGTGTGCGCCGTTACGAGACGCAGAGATTGGTACCCGATTTTAAGGTCCTAGGTCAACCGCAACCGGTGACCTCTGAGGTCAGGTCAAGTGCCTCAAGGTACGGTTCAGTTTTTGGTGAATAACTTCGCAAAAAAACGGGCGCAGAGCCGCGATTGTGGCAGCATCGTATTCGCCTCGCTCAGGCGCGTCGAATAATATATTTTTGTTGGGTCAGGTCAACTTATAGGGTGCTGACCTCAGGTCACGGTCAGGTCAGCGCCCCCAGGTCACGAAGTTGGTCGAAAGAGGTCATGTCGCATATCATTTGATTCGGTAGGTCTTTCTGAGTCCATTGGTGGCTTCCCCGACTCGCTAGCTCAATTTGATCGGGAGTTATTGACGAAAAATTAATATGATCTTGATGACGTCATAAATGACGTCACACAAGGTCAACATTGCAAAAGTGACGCATCTAACCTTGCAAGGAGTGCATCAAATCACGATTCTGTGTGCTTGAGATAGTTGAAGATCATTCCCGGCGCCAGAGTAGCAGTTTTCATTTTTCCCCATTGACTGATCAGTGATCATGGTGAGGTCACGAAAATGACCTGACCTCATATGATCTTGAGGAAAAATCCGAGATATACAAGTTGTGAGACTTGTAATGGATACTAGATCCTGCAAGTTTCATTTCCCTGTGAAAGCTCCTCTGGCAGTGAGGGCGTTGCGAAGTTGCGACATCTGAAGACCGTGCAGAGGTTCACTTATGGCGTCATAGGTCAGTGACCTGACCTGACCCTAAAATGCGGTTGGTGTCAAAAGCTCTGGCTTGAATCAAATGTCAGGTATGCCAAGTTTCAGCTCTCTATCGCCAGCATGTTTGGAGCTATCGCGAAAAAAAAACTATGGGGGCGGCACCCCCTCGGCCGGCGAGGGTTAATGCTGTGTTTTTATTAGAAAAAAGTGGCCATGTATGATGCAAGTTCTTGCTGAGCGGCGTCACGCTGGCCGGTCGTCATCGAGGGATTCACGGCACAGCACCAAACTACTATCGTAATGACGCCTTTGTAGTGGCGAAATTGTGTTTGCAGTCGAACAGTGCCGGGCCGGCTCTCGCCCGCAGGTCGGATCCGGTCAGGAACGCATGGTCGGGTCCGGCCCGCGGCCGCCACCCGTCCGACATCCGGTCCGCGACTCGTATCGGCAAAACAGGTGCATTGTAGTCTCGTATGCGCGTGGAAGTGCCCTCAGAAAAAAAAAATGCAGCAAAGTGTTTGCAATATGTATTGTTGGCTTCTAGCATTGGGTTACTCTTTCAATGTTTCTATATACTGTAAGCCTCAAAGGTCCCAGCAGCCGGTAGTATTAGATGTATTCATTAATTAAACGTATAAGTTGAGTTGAATATCGTCACCCTTGTCCTTGCTCTTGAGGGAGCACACCGGTCCGAGTCTGACAGCTAGAGAGGTTCGGGGCGCATCCAAACGGTCATTGAAGCTCTCATTGAAACGGCCCAATCTTACCAAATGCCGTGAATGCGCATTCACGGCATTTGGTAACATTCAGAACTATTCAACATTCATTTATTCATTCGTTTGCGCAACATTCATAATCGTTCACGGTACCAAAATCATTGGACAAGATTAGCTGGATGTAAATACAAAGGATATCTTGATATCTTGATATCAGTGCCGTAAACTCCGGCCAGCGCTGCCAAATCCTATGTACGGGATTGGTAAGATTGGGCCCTGCATCCATATTGAGACCGTTTGCTGCGTTCGATGAGTTGCCTTTTGAATGTTTTGCAGTCGATATAGGAAGGTGATATTTTGACTTTTGATATTTTGTCTTTCGATGCTGTCATTCGGTATTCTATGTTTCGATGTTTTGTGTTTTCAATATTTTGTGCGTTCGCTATAGGTATTCTCGATGTAGGTAGGTGCTGTCGTTCTCCAAAAGACCTACTACGTTCAATATTTTGTCTTCTTATTATCTTGCGTGAGTGATATAGGTATCAGGTGACAAGGTCATTCCGAGTCATCCAAAAATGACACTAAAATTAGCATGACATGATAGGCATTTACTTGTAAGCCTCAGTTATCCAAAAACACTTATGTATCAGATCCAGAGTGCCGCGTTCCGCTTTGCCGTCATGATATGGACTTCTTGTTGATCTGCTGCCCTGCAACGAGGGGCCGCCACTGACCTTCTTTATGTCCTCTGGAAGTGCCACTGCTGGGTGCACTGCCCCCAACCCCCACCCCCACCCAACCACTTAACCCTCGCATGTGTGCGGCGTTTGCCAGCTTCTAATGTGTAGGGGGGTCGGTTGGACCCCCCCCCCTTGCCGTTTGGCCCCTGATCGAGCTAGAGCTTCGCGGAAAAAATTAGCGTGTTGCCCGTGACGAGAGGAAGCCGATGATACCCAATTTTAAGGTCCTAGGTCATTGGTTGACCTTCCAGGTCAGGTCAATGACCCAAGGTCGGGAAAATCGGGACCTGTGAGAAGTCGTAAAGTGTGGCTGCTAAGGGGTTTTTCGGGATGCTGATCACGAATAGCGTGTTAGTTTTGATCACAGATGATGTCTTTTAGCATTTAAACCAGGTCGGGTCAGGTCAGGTCAGGTCAACCAGTAGGCTTAGTGACGGGTATTCGTATTACGTGTCAACCGCCTCTGACAGCTTCGTAACATGTTACGAAGTCACCAAAACTACTTCGTAAATGTTCAAATGGTTGCTAAATTCGAATTCAGCTCCAAAAACTAGCCTAGAAACATGTAAAACTCGAAAAAGTGAACCGAGGTCACCAAAGATCAATGACCTTACCTGACCTTCAGGTGACCTTGCCACCCACCCTAATGCATGGGAGCAACATCAAATCACATTTTTGAACGTTTGAAACCACGAAAAGCTTGCAAACGCGCGGCTAATGCGAGCCGACATACGCGGAATCGCGATTCCGGCCAAACATGGTCTCGGAAAAGAGGTCACAGGTCAAAGGTCATTGGGGTCAGGGTCATGAAATTTTCAGGGTAGGTGTAAAATTGATCAATGTGAGGGTACTGAAAGTTTTGTCGCGATCGGCCGCTTTTTACGCGAGTTATTCGCGAAAAACCATGGGGGGGTCCATCCGACCCCCCCCCCCCTACACATACGAGGGTTAAGACACCGAGCGGCTGGCACTGAACTACTGACCTTCCTGAAGCCCTCCTCGTAGCTGTCGACCAGGTTGCGCTCTCGCTCCGGCAGCACGTGCTTCTCGTACACCTGCTGCAGCGTGTCACAGTCCTGCAGCGGACTCTGCACCAGCCGGCACCAGTCCTGTGGTGACAGGTCAGAGTCCCGACTGTTACCAGTCACCTCAGTATGACAAATGACATGAGGCGAATACGTCAAGGTAGCTTGTGACTCTGGGAAGACTGTCATTATTTTTCTCTCAGCACACCATGTTTCCCGCTTACATGTAGCTCCATTCACCTGCGTTTCGTCAGGTACTGGGGAATAGGACGTTTGTGCGTCGGAGACAGGTTTTCAGGTCAGTGGAAGGCCTGTAATATCACTGTTACATAAGCAAAGAAAAATAGGTATGACGCATACTTACATTATTGGAATAGTTTATGAACTATGTATGTTGTTACGCATGATGTTTCGAAAAAAGTCATTCTCATTGTGTTACGGGCGGCTGTGACCGCCCGTTGTGGCATGCCTGGCGCCGCCCGTGGCGCCTCCCCGGCTGGCCGCGCCCGGCGCCGCCCCTGCCGCGTGGCCCTCGGGCGGGGTCGAGGGCTGGCGCTGGCTGGGCGGTCGGCGGCCCGGGAGAGGCAGGGAGACCGTGGTTACGAGCGGTTGGCTCTGTGGTTCTTGTTTGGGCCTCTGCCGATAATACAGTAAAGCATCGAGTCTGAGTGTGTTCAGCTCCCGCAACATTTGGCGCGGTCGGTAGGACTGCAGAAGACGACAAAGGGTGAGTTCATTAATTTCATTTGATGATATTTATTGAAATTTAGTTCATGAATGTTGATTATCGTAACTAGTCTGTGCTCGACAAAAAGCGGGCGGTTTGCTCGAAAATAGAACGCCGATATTTTCTGTTCTGAGGGGAACGTTAGGAATAAGGCGGTCCGCCTGGGTGCAGTTTTGAATAATTTGGTGAATTGTTTCCGCTGGCCATGGATTTCAACGACACTATTTTGGTATCGCGAACCCCTCGTTTTGCGGGTATAGAGACAGATGATTGGGAGCGGTGGATATCTCGTTTCGAGTCGTTAACGGTGGGACTCGGAGACGTTGAGCGAGTTAAGCGGCTGTTGCCTCTGCTGGATGGCGTCGCACTCGATTATGCGCATTCGCTGTATCAGGGTGACAGTTCGTACTCTGAGATAAAGTCAGGACTTGGGGTCCGGTTTGGTCGGTTAATCGAGCCCTTACAGGCGCAGGCCGAGCTGGGGCGCGCCTCCCAGTCGCCGGGGGAATCAGCTGAGAGCTTCGCTGACCGTATTAAGAGACTGGGGCGGGCTGCGTTCCCTCATTCTACCGGTCCGTCAGGGGAGGGAAAAGGTCCTGAGGAAACGTATGCAGAGAGGGCGTTCGTGATGAAAACCCTGACGAGTCGGTTCATATGTGGACTTCGGGATGAGTGGCTCCAGACGAAACTGTGCCACCGTAATCCTGAGTCACTGTCTGCGGCTGTAGCGGTGATCCGAGAGCTGCATAAACGCCAGGAGGTCGTCCAGGCGGTACGCGCTGCTAACCCATCGACGCATACAGGTACTGGGCCCCTTCCCCTGGGTGCTGTAGCGTCAGCTGTTCATGCAGAGGTAGGAGGTGGGTCGCAGCAGGATGCAAGGATAGCTCAGCTGCAGCAGGAGATCGGCCAGCTGCGGTCTTCGTTGGAGGCGTTCGCCGTTGCCAAGACGGACCACCTGCCTGAGGCTGTCAAATGTTACGGGTGTGGTGCCCCCGGCCATTTTCGGCGTGACTGCCCGGTGGTACGCCGTGGTCAGCCGAGAACTGGACCGAGAGCCACCAGGGTGAAATGTTTTTCGTGCGGGCAGGAGGGTCACATTCGGAGCAACTGTCAGTCGGCTGTACAAGCTGCCACCCCGCTCCAACCGTTTTGTTTATTCTGTGGCGAGGCTGGGCACTGGATGGCGGCATGCCATTCTCGCCTGCAGCAGGGGCCTCCAGCAATGGGTGGACGTCGGGGGCTGATGTCGAGGGAAGCCCTTCCATCTGATAAGCCGGCGGAAAACTAGGGGCAGCTGGCCCTGTGGGACAAGAGCCGGCTGCGTGTATCCAGTCCCGATTAACTGCAACAGCCATTCGAGTCCACTTGGGCAGCCTCGAAGTATGGGCGCTGGTCGATTCGGGTGCCGACTTTTCCATGGTCAGGGATGGGCTCCAGCAGCGGTTGAAAACGGAACTGGCTTGTCAGGCCACCACCCCGACGCGGTCCGCGAAGGGAGCTGGTGGTAGCCCCCTGAACATCGTTGAGGTGCTCCGTGATGTCCCTATCCAGGTGGAGGAGGAGTCGATTGTGTGTCCACGACTGGCTGTGGTGTCGGGGCTGGTCTATGACGTGATCCTTGGACGTGACTTCTGTTGCCAAAACAGAACTATCATTGACGATGAGAAGGGGGTGATCCGTATGAAAGGGATGACGATTCCACTTCCAACATACCCTGAGATCCGTCCCCCGCGGGCTAGAGTCATTCTTGGCGATGCAGTAACACTACCAGGTCGTTCGGTAACAACGGTAGCAGCAGTGGTGCAGCGACTTGATGGCCAGGGACCTTTTGTGACGTCAGCAGGCTCGGTAAGTGGGATGATGGAGCCAAGCCGCACGGCGGAGCGTGAGGATCTATTGATTCCACGGGCTGTGGTGGTGATCGCCTCCAATGGCACCATACCTATCCGGTTGACGAATGTCGGAGCGGAGGGCGTCCGTCTCTTGAAGGGCTCTGATGTCGGGACGTTCCTTGCGTTTGGGGGCGGTGAAGACGCCCTGTGTGTTTTGTGTCCCGGGGCAGACTGTGCCGATTGCAATGTGGCGAGCTGTGGAGATGGAGGTAATCCATCTCATGATCCTGGAGAGGTGGAACCGGAGGTGCAGCAAGCCCTGTCACCAGAACTGACAGACTTGAGTGAGAGAGGTCGTAACAAACTACGGGGTTTATTTGAGACCTACAGTGACGTCTTCAGTAAAAGACCGGGAGACATTGGTCGTACAGGTGTGACAAAACACAGGATTGACACGGGGGATGCAGTCCCAGTCAAACAACGTCCACGACGGATACCCATGAAAGTCCGAGACCAGGTAGAGAAACAAAAAGAAAAGATGTTACAGGATGGTGTCATTGAGGAAAGCGAAAGTCCGTGGTGTTCGCCGGTCGTGTTGGTGCGCAAGAAAGATGGATCCTTCCGCTTCTGCGTCGACCTGAGGGCTGTGAACGCAGTGACGAAGGGCTTCGCCATGCCGCTCCCACGAATCGACGACTCGCTCGATACCCTGTCAAGGGCGAGGTGGTTTACCACGCTGGACATGGCCACAGGGTATTGGCAGGTTGAACTGGCGGCTGAAGATCGAGAGAAGACGGCATTTTCGACTGGAAAAGGCCTCCATCAGTTCAGAGTCATGGCAATGGGTCTCAAGAACGCCAGCGGCACTTTCCAGAAGATGATGGAACTGATTCTCGCAGGCCTTGACACCAAAAGCTGTTTGGTGTACTTGGATGACGTCATCTTGTTCAACAGGACCGAGGAAGAACATCTGGCTACCCTGCAGGAGGTACTCCTGAGGATTCAGCAAGCCGGGCTGAAGCTAAAGGCACAGAAATGTCGATTCGCACGCAAGGAGGTGACTTTCCTTGGACATCTCGTCTCCGAGGAAGGGATACGTCCAGATCCGCATAACGTGGACAAGGTCCTGGCCTGGCCGCAGCCGTCATCTGAGGAGGAGATGAAAAGCTTCTTAGGCCTGTGCGGGTACTACGCGCGGTTTATTCAGGGGTATGCCGCGATTACAAAGCCACTTAGGGACGCCGCAGTAGAGGAGGGACGAATCAGGTGGTCCGAACCGATGCGCATTGCATTCGAGCTGTTGAAGTCCACTCTGTCCTCGCCTCCCGTACTGGCTTTGCCAACAGGTGAAGGGACGTTCGTCCTGTATACAGACGCATGCAACTCTGCCGTGGGTGTGGTGCTGGCTGAACGCATTGGAGATGAGGAAAAGGTGATCGCCTATGAGAGTAAGGCACTCACAAAGCAGCAGACGAGATGGCCGACTTACGATAAGGAACTCTGGGCGATCGTTCATGGCATCAGACATTTCCGTCAGTACACTGTTGGTGCCAGATTTGAAGTGGTGACCGACCACAAGCCGCTGGCAAACATACCGACATCGATCGCAGCAGAGCGAGACGGCACAGGACGTCGTGGTCGATGGGCGATCGAGCTGAGTTCTTTCGACTTCAATGTTCGGATCCGCAGCGGTCTGGCCCACGGGAACGCTGATGCGCTGTCTCGCAGACCACCAGATATGGCGTCTGCGGTCCGATCTGGTCAAGCCCAAGGCCAGGGGTGGTGTCCCGGTCGCTCTGTCTCAGAGAGAGGAGATAGAACGGAGACGGTGGGGTCAGTAGCGGGCGGCTCGCCCGCGCCGACGGAAGGCGGTTCGCCTGAGTCGGTTGTGACTCTTGTAGCTCCAACTGCTGTATTCTCAAGGCTTACGCAGGAACCGGCTGCTGTATCAGTCGCTGTGTCACAATCAGTCCAAGAACGGACCCTCCCTCCAATCGCCCAGGCGCAAGCCAGTGACGCGACGCTGTCGGCTCTCCGAAGAGCACACGAGAGGAAGGAGAAGCCAAGGCCTGCAGCGTTCGCTGGGTGGGGAGTGCTGCGAAAACACTGGAGCAAGGTGCGCGTCATGAATGGAGTAATCGGCATTGCCTCGGGTCGACAGTTCCAGGCGGCGGTGCCTCAAACTGAACGGGCCGAGATCATCCGACTGGCGCATGATGATCCATCGAGCGGGCACATGGGTCGCAGACGGACCATCGCCCGGGTGAAGGCTCGATTCGTCTGGCCGGGGATGAATGAGGACATCCGGAGCTTCTGTGCCTCGTGCACGCCGTGTCAGCGGCGGTACAGACCGGCACCCAAAAGACGAGCACCGATGGTTACCGAGGTTACCTCACGACCCTTCCAGAGAATAGCCATGGACATCACGGAGATGCCTGTGTCGAGAAGAGGCAACCGATATGTGCTCGTGATCATGGATTACTTCTCAAAGTTCGTACGAATCTTCCCGATGCCGAATCAGAAGACAGAAACGGTGATGGAGGCACTCCTTCACTGGGTTCAGGAGCTTGGTGTTCCCGAGAGGCTTCACACAGATCAGGGCGCTCAATTCGAATCTCTGATGATGCGTGAGCTGTATCAGAGGCTCGGCATCCACAAGACTAGAACAACGCCTTATCATCCTGAGAGCGACGGGATGGTGGAGCGCTTCATGAGGACCCTGAAAGACATGGTGTCGAAATACATCGACAGCCAGGGCCTTGACTGGGACGAAAGTACCAGATCATACGCCATGGCCTACAATTCTTCCCTCCACGAAACCACCGGTCACACACCTTTCTACATGATCCATGGCTTTGAGCCTCGGTTGCCTTTGGATGTAATGTACGGAACCGATGAAGTCGCAATACCAGCTGAAACCTTCCTGAACAAACGGCTGAAGAACATGAAGCGGGTCTTCGCACAGGTGAGGAGAGCCTCCTCCCAATCAGCTGCTCGAATGGCGGTTCGCCATGACAGCAAACTCAATTTTACCGCGTACCCAACGGGCTTGAAGGTGTGGGTACGAGACCACACTGCCGCTGTGGGAGGAAAACCGAAGCTGGGTCTGCCGTTTAAAGGACCGGTGACCATCGTCGAGAGAAGAGGCACACCGGGGGAGGAAGTTACCTACCGGATACAGGACGTCCGCGGCAAGACACGCGTCGTGCACCACAACGACCTCAAGGAGTTCATCCCTCGTCGGACCGACTTGCAGCCAGTTCAGGATCCGAGTGGTCCAAATGGACGTGGTGAGGCCGTGGGGGTGGATCCCGTGAGCGACTGTGGTAACGAGCATGGCGTTCTGCTCGAGGTGCCGCTAATGCACTTACTCGGGAGAGCTGGCCCATCTGGTGATGTGGGCGTCGCTCAGAGGGGAATGTTGCCGCCAATGTCATACGTGACCAGATCAGGCCGAGTGTCGCGACCACCTGAAAGGTTCCAGGCGGGACTATGAGTGTGGTGGAGGTGGTGAAGGCTGTGATTGTGTATATAGTTGTAATGTAAATAGCGTGTCGTAAGTGTCGCATTGTTCAATGTATGATTGTTTCCGTGAGGGGGGAGGGGTGTTACGGGCGGCTGTGACCGCCCGTTGTGGCATGCCTGGCGCCGCCCGTGGCGCCTCCCCGGCTGGCCGCGCCCGGCGCCGCCCCTGCCGCGTGGCCCTCGGGCGGGGTCGAGGGCTGGCGCTGGCTGGGCGGTCGGCGGCCCGGGAGAGGCAGGGAGACCGTGGTTACGAGCGGTTGGCTCTGTGGTTCTTGTTTGGGCCTCTGCCGATAATACAGTAAAGCATCGAGTCTGAGTGTGTTCAGCTCCCGCAACAATTGTCCTCAACAACGAATATATATCGAGCGGTTTTCCAATGTTTCGCGCATGCGAGCGTGCGACTTCAGACATTAAGAAAACAACTCATCGTAAAGAATCGACGGGCTTGTACAGTAATCGCCCATAAACTAGAAAAGTTTACGTACGAGTTTAATGTCCTATCTGTTTCTGGACACGCACGCCAGTTATTCGGCAGACAATTGTTTCATGTATTATGCACGGCTCTGTGAAAGCCTTCCAGTCGATTGCTAAAGGCTGGGGGCTGGGTATTCTAAGGTTTCTGACTCACCAGTGACTGCAATGGTACTTTGTTCTGCTAAACGTCTAAAACACAAAGACGTTAACACTAACATAAACATCGAAACGCAATGTCTTCCGCCTGATTACTCCAGTACCGAACTCATATTCCGATCCTGATGGCTCTGGTAAACTGATCACCTACTTGTTTAGCTGCCAACGTTGGCCTGTGTAACTTTATGTCGATTGCCCATTGCCCGTTCCCGCTGCACACCACTAAAGCTATCTAAGGTTTATGAACCCAAATTGTTGCATCATTTCACATACCAATGTCATAGGCGGCGGAACGGGTAGGGCACCGGGGCACCGTGCCCCCCTTTGATTTTGGCATTTTAACAGCAGCCCTATGGGCGTAGCATGGGAAGAATGGGACCAAAAGGCGGCAGTCCCCCCCCCCCTTAATTGAAGGTATTCCGCCGCTACTGACCAATGCTATACCGATATTGACGGGTATTTCGTTCGGTGTCGGTTTTCTTACATTATGTAATCAACATTACCTAAAGTAAAGAGTGCATTCCTGAAGCATGTAAACTCAGTCGCTATTCACCAGAAACATTCCAGCACAGCTCTTTCCGCATGTCTCTGCGCCTCCAGCAATCCTTACGAGGAAGTTTTCCAGTAGGTCGCCGTCCTTCCACCCGGCCTTCCAGTGGGGCAGGTGCAGCAGGCCGGTGAGGTCACTGAAGGCCGGCCTGGGCCTGTCGGCAGCAGCCAGAAACGATACCAAGGTGGCCGAGTAGGCGGTGTACATGAGCAGGCCGAGCATCAGGCCGCTGAGGAAGGCGATCCGAGACGACAGCGCGCTGGGCGTCACCTGAGAGAGTGGGGAGGGGTGGAGACGTCTGCTGTGTAACGGGGCGGGTGCAGACCCATGCTGAGGTGCAGGCTCGTTTGAATTTGAGACTATTTTTGTCCTTTCTTTCTCTTTCCTCTTGGTAGCGAGGTGATGTGTTCGAGGTCTCCCAACATCTATAAGTATCCGTCCTCAGTGCTCATTCTGTTGTAATCTGTAGCCCTCTGCTGCTACCCACCGGTCCTAGGCACTGATATCAAGTGTGACCCTGTGACCTGCGACAGTTTTTTGTGTCATGTACCCACCGGCGCGCCCTGCTGCAGCAGCTGCCCCAGCACTGTCCACAGGGCGTCGGAGAAGGTGCGCAGGTCACCGGCGGCCGGCGGACAGGCGGGTCGCCGACCCGGTGACACGGCCTCGCAGAGTCGGAGTACCGCGGCGGCCGCCAGCGCCACAGCGGATAACAGCAGCGCCATGGGCACGCTGATACCGCGCGAGTAGCGGCCCACCCAGGAGTCGAGCTCCGAGTCGGCGCGCAGGTACACCTTCCGGCTGGGGACGCGCAGAGTGAGAGAGGGACTCAGGGCTGGGGACGGACCAATATTGAGAACATCTGGAGGACAATCACATAATGGTAACGGCTGGCGACAAATAAAGGCTCTTCCCGGTGGCTAAAAGAAATGGCTCATGGTTGGAACATGGATGGCCAACTACTTCCAAATACCAACATACTCAATCTGATTTTAATACTGAAAGTGAGCCATGAAATCAGATACAATTCAGTTAGGTACTTCAGCTACATACACGGACTACCTCATCCATGATTTGAATTTTGAACATACGGACACCCATGACCAAGTTCTGGTTTAGACATTACGTACCTCCTACCACACTGGACCTCTACGTGTGATGTGCCATACCTGATGACGGAGAGGATGGTGGAGAAGTCGATGACCTGCTGCCGGTCGGTGGTGACAGACACCTCACTGATGGTCAGGTCCGCCGCGCCCGTCTGCAGCGCGCCCACCATGCCGCCATAGCTGCCGTTCCCCAGGTACTTGCCGTACGCGTAACCGTCCAACAGTGTGATGTTTAACCTGCCGACCGATAGGTGGCGGGAACGACGCGTATAGATGGCGTGCGATATAGATGGCGCTCGATTTATATGGCGTGTAATACGAATGATAGCCGATTTGAAAGTAACACGCAATCCAGTGTGGCAATATAAATGGCTGAGCTAGCTGGGATGGCCACTTCTCATCACTTTGGTGATCGAAATTTAGTTGCGCATAGGGTGTTAACTCTTTGTCTGCATAGCGTGGTTACATGCATGATTAATGGAATATAAGCTAACCAGAGTTTCAGAGCTGGGATGAGCAACTTCCAAACTCTGCTCATTGGCTGTCATTGCAATACACCCTTCCAATACTCAATGGTATTGTATAACACATAGACACGTGAATAAAGTAAACAGATGGAGTTTTGTAGCAATCGCCATTGTCTCGTCATCGCATTTTCTTCAACGAAACAATTAGCACGTCTGGCACCGATGCCGTCTGAGTTATGTTTTGCACTGTGTGTGCGTTTCCCACACTGTTCCGACGAACAGCGCCGGTGCACCGCGGTCGATATGCCGACCGGGCATTTTGCGCGCTCAGAGTGCCCTCAGGCGTGAGAAAGTGTCCCGCCTCCACAGCTGGGGCGTGACCTCAGTCTGACCCGGCGCAGTGCAAACAGAGGCGGCCTTCAAACCAGACCGGACTCCAAACGGAGCATACCACAAATAGGATGGCACTTCACCCAGCGCCATATTCTGGAATCCATACACACTGAAACCCTGATTTAGTAGCGCTGCAAACGAGACCGCACTCCTATAGGCGACAACTCGACTCTAATCTTTAATGTTTTTGAATTTCTCAACTACGTCCGTTTTTCGATCATCTTCTCGACGAACTCATAGGGCTGGTAGTCCGCAGTTTTATCTCAATGTTTCAGCGTCCTTTTCTCTTCTTCATATTTACGAATTAGGGGAAGCGGGGGTAACACCGCCCCCCTAAGCTTTTCGCCAAAATGAGAGAATATGTGTGAAGTCTCCTGGTAGTTATTGTTTTGGTTACAATATTTAAACATTTTCTCACGTGTTTTAGGTACTTATTTTGCATGCTCCTAAAAGGTTTTCATGTATCACGACTTTTAAAAATACCTTGCATATTTGCTGCCTACAAATTGTGTGGGTAACCCCGCCACCGGTGTTGATGTTAACCCAACCCATTCCTACGAGAGCTTTTAATTGTTCAGAGATCGTGTGCGATGAGTTTCCTGTCGGTAAGTGGTAATTTTCGCAAATAATCGGTAATGGACACCTAAATAGGTATAGGTTCATCAGCTGTTTGCCAGTTTTATACAGCTGGCAAGTGCTTGGTCGGGATGCATGAAAAATATAAAGTAAAAAATCAAATAAGCTGCTTATTCCCGACTTAGGAACATCTACGAACCTAAATAAAGCGTGTCTTTGGAGTTTCATCACTTATCACGCTACAAACAGGAAACACCGCAACCTCAATTGGGGTAACACCGCCACGGGGTGGCGGTGTTCCCCAATAAGTGATCACAAGCAAAAATCGCCAGCGGTAAGAATGTACTACACGGTTCAAGCAAACTTATCTTACTGGACAAAGCCGATCAGTTATTTTTCGATGTAATCAAGTAAATCAAAATGAGTCTCTACTTAAAGACATTCAAAAGTGTTCCCAACTCATCGAATTTTTATAAGAGAATGTGCATTTTTCTTTAAATGCCCACATTGAGCTTCGATTACACTGAAACACCGGGACCGGAACACAAATCAGAAGACGCTTACCTTCGTGCGGTCGATAGGAAATAACGGATTTTTACACCTCACATTTCATACTTTCGCCGCCAGATGGGGTGGTGGTGTTTCCCACAGTGGCGGTGTTACCCCCGCTTCCCCTACGATATGATTGATATGTCGACATCCTCAATAACAGCGATGTAAATCAGTCGTTATGGGCGCCATATAACCTTCCAAGTTGAGGCGCCCCTAAACTCCAACACACACATAGACCGCACTCCACGCAAAACGAGGTTTTCATTAAAGAGGACTGTGACACACACGCTGAGGATATAGGAATGTGCACTGCACTTCTTATCTTATGTGCTCACTGGACATGGGCGAAGGCTTTTGCAATCACTCAGAATACGCAATCTTCGCATTTTACGTTAACTTTTACACCGTTTAAACATTTTCTTGGGGACATGCTGGCGGCGTCATTCCCTGCTGGCGCTCAAACATGCTGGCGAGTCATTCCCTCATTTGGTTGAACTTGGCTGAACTTGCCTCAATTTACTCCACTTTTAGTTATTTGGCCTATCTAATTGTGACCCTAACCCTTCTGACTCAGTGGAACTTCTCTTTTACAGTTCTGGGCTACTACAGTACTACACTTTTACAGTACTTTACAGTTTTAATTTGCAGTACAGCATTCTGCAAGTAGTTAGTACTACCCACAGTACGACGTTTGTGCACTCACGTGAAGTTGAACTGTCTGGCCAGCGAGGCGGCCACCTGATAGAAGACGCCGCCCACCGGCTGTTCAGTGCCGTTCACCTCCGCCACCTTTGTGTAGATCGGAAACACCTGTAGAGTAAACAATTGAGTGAGTGGCTGCTACTGAGAACATGACGTGTTGATCTAATTTGGTGAGGCTGAGTATAATTGGGTCTGTATTGAAGACTCACGGTCAGTATGAAAATCACTTTGAGCATGATGGTATTTAGTAGGTAAGCATTTGTGTTCACACCTGTTTGTATAGAATGGGCGTTGTAAAAGTGATTTTGTGTATTAACTATGCTGATTGATGCGGGTCACATTGAGTTGTGCAAAACAATACTGTTTTCATTAACGCTTATCAACGATAGAAATATATTTTCGACAAAGCATCATTCACTTCCTTTGGAGTGAGCACATCATTACTTTGAGCTTGCAGAGCTGGATATCCCATAATCAATACGTTATAGTCGATCATCATGTTGTGTGGTAGGGTGGACAATAAATATAAAGCAGCCAACGAACCACCGGTAGGCAAAGCTACCCTATTGAATGGAAGTCTTTGGAGCTCGCCGACCATTCAAGTGCACCACCAAGGCCGTTTAATCAGTCTCAGCCATGGCGTCAGTCTTGGAGTTCAAGCAAACCGGCCGCGACCTGAGCAGGTGCGGTGTCACGTGTGCCTGTTTAGGTTTGTGCCGCTCGGAGCGGGTCGCTGCGCCGCTGTCTATTAGACACCATTGATGGCCCGTGGGACGGAGCCGTCTCCCATTCTGAGACCACCCGCTGTGTTCAGCCCGGTGCGGTGGGCGTATTGAAAGGTCCGTAACGACTACGCTGTAGCTCCCTTCTCATTCCTCACCATATGAGCTACTATCGTACGGCACAATCACGAGGGATTTTTTTCAATATAGAAAGTAGTTTAAAATAATGAACATTTTGAGCTTCCATCAAACATTTCGTCGAAATCCCCCCTCCCCCAAAAAGACTGGCTCGTCATCGGGATACAGGGTCAAATTATGATTCCTTTCCGTATTCCTCCCGTCTATCAACGGGAAAATCAGGAAAAGAGTCGCGGGCTGTTCACATCCCTGTGACCCTCGCCCTACCTTGACCCCCACAGCGTTGAGGGTGATGCCGCCGAGGTCTCCGCGCCGGTGCACCTTCATCCTGCCGTCCAGCACCGTCTCCCGGCCGTCCTTCCACAAGCTCATCGTGTGGTAGGTCACCGGACAGCGGCGGCACTTTCGGTACACTTCCTGCACCTGCCGGACATATACGAGTATGTCGTGGTGGGGTGAGGAAAAGGACGTTACGCTACTTCTAGGGGAGGGCGGTTCGCGGGCGTGAGTGAATATTGATCTTATATCAAGCTGGGCCTGATCATTTGGCCTCACATCCGTTATTGTTGATCGAAGTAATGCTCACTCTAAT